ACTAAGCTTAAGCACATGTCAAGCACAGGGAGTGGCACAAAAGCATCGCTTGGGTGATACAGGAAGTTAAACCAAGCCAAGGTGAACTCAGAGCTCTGAGAACAGTGTATATTTTTGTAATTACTGCTAATTGAAAAAAGAAAAGATTCCTCCAGCCCAAGCTCTTAAGTAGCAGCAAATAAAATGTCATCAATATTTTAATTCTTTTTCTTTTTTCTTTAAATCACACCATAGTTGGAGCTCCTAATGAAATGCAAATCAGGTGTTGGAGCAGTATAGTTCACCTCATCTGTACCACAGGTTTGCTCAATGTTAACATCCCTCAACACCCCTTGCTGTCACAGGTGGGTTTGGTTTTCTTTCTTTCTTTCTTTGTTTTGTGTGTTGGGGTTTTTTTTAAAGTATTGCTTCATCCTGTTTACAACAATTACTGTGTCTCACTTAGCTGAATTCCAAGGGGTTTAACTTTTGGAGGTCTAAATGTGGGGGGGGAGGTTTAAATTTCAGCTGCTTTTTGTCACTATCCCTGAGTTTTTGCCTTAGTTTTGATTTTAAACAGACAAATGTTAAAAAGCACTAAGCAGCAAGAGGAAAAATGATGCTTCCAAAACCTTTATAAGCATATAGAAGTCACATAATTTTTCTTGTTTTATATTTTATAAACTCAGGTAATCTGCTTGTTGGACAGAAAACAGAACTCCAAGTCCCTGTTGATTTAAACCCGAACAAAAAGGTCCCTGAAATTAGCAGAAAGTCTCCCTCTGGCTTTACCAGGATAAGTAGCAGGTAATGTGACGCAGGATACCATCAACAACATACATCCCCTCTAGCCTGCAGCATCCTGGGTTTCTGGGCTTCCCAAGTGGCATAAAGATTTTCCAATCAGACCATCAGCTAAGGAATAACAACTGGGTGATGGAGGATAGCTGGGTAGATGCCATGATGGTGCCTCCTAGCCTGAGAACTTAAGAGCAAAATTCAGTGTTCATTCTGAAACAGGTTAAAACCAAAATAAGCAAAAGGGTTTTCTCATTGGGTAGTAAAGTTAGTTACCTAAAGACCACAATAATAAAGGGGGAGGAAAAAAATCCACACAGATTCTCTGCAAGTTGCTTCCTAGAAAAGCAACAGGAAAATCTGTAAAGAAAAGTAATGCTCATTAGATTCTTAGCACAACACACAGATACAGGATGTCCTAAAAATAAAATCTAAAAAATCCAAGAGGGCAGATATAACAAACCTAAATAAACTAAGATGCAAGACAAATGCAGATATAATTATCTATGCCATACAGTAAGATAGGAGAGTTTTCTTCAGATATACAATATCACCACAAAAATCTTAGTTGTCTAACAAAAACAGATCTCAAAAAAGCAGCAAATCAAAACTGACCCTAAGTGCAGGAACTGTCAGAACAGTACAAAGAAATACCTGCCACATAAATAGTCAAAAGAGGGGGGAAAAGTCCACAGAAACAAAACAAAGGGTTTCATCTCCTTCATGTTCCATTTCAGAAAGCTAGATGACATCTAGTGCCAAAATGTCAGAGACAGCTGTAACAGTGAGGTGTCATCAGCCTGGCAGAAGCTGAAAGTTATATGCCCCATCCAATTAATATGGATAGGTCCAACATCTGTATACAAATTCTCTTTTCCTACTAGTACAAAAAAATGCATTAAATACATTTCAGAAGAAAACCACAAAGTTTGGGGTGAGCACAAAGGGATTGTGAAGAAATACAGAAGTGCAGGCAAGGTTGACTGAAACAAGGCTTCAATCAGATCTAAAACTATTGATAAGTCAAGATTGATGGTCAATCCTAAAGAATGAAAAAATTATCCTAATTCATTCCTTCACACAATCTTGTACTTGCTTGTATCCATGACCCCAAAACACTGAAAAATCTCCAAGAAGCCGAGAACAATTCAGTTGCCTTTTCTGTAACGGAGTTTTGGAAGTGGGGAATAATCAAGATGACCACTAAAACCCTGAAAAGCCTCAATGCTGCAAGAGGTTTAGAAAAAGGAGTTGGCAGGAAGGAGCAGGAAAAGGCATCCTCTGGAAAGTAGTCCACAACCTCCTCCCCAGTAAATTTAGCAGATACATTGTATTAGGGACAAAGAAAGTCAAGAGAAGGAATAAAAATAAGCAATTCCCCTTAGGAATTATATGCAAGATTGCTTTGTAAAACAAACCAACCAACAAACTGTATTTCTCTGGAAAAAGCAAAAGGTCACCAATCTTGGTGAAAATACAGCTATAAAAAGTTTTTGGCCAAATATCAAAGAGCGTGTTTACAAAAGGGCCACATTCATTGTAACACTAACCATTCAAACCTCACAATAGATTTCAGGAGAGAACAGGATGCAACGTCAAACATCTGTTATCATGTTATTTTCTTCAGCTCCTCTGCCCAGAAATTACATCTAGACTCTGCCCATCTTCCAAACCTTAGTTTAGACCAGCGAGACGTGGGCTGGAGAGCGTGTTAGGACAGCTCAGATGCCCAACACGGATGGAAAGGTCACACTTTAACAGATTACATATAACCCAGCTGAAACATCTCATTTAACAGTGTCAGCTGTCCAAACTGCACAGGCATTGCACAGACACATCTGGAAAACAGTGCAAAGCCTTCCTGGAGCCAGGCTGGGGCAGAGGCGATATCTGCTGCACCAAAGCAGGACTGCCAGCTTAGGCAAGGAGACTACACTCAGGACTTCCAGAGAGCAGGACTAAACAGTGCCCATGGAGCTTAAATGTAGTGTGCAGACATAACAGGCCCATCTTCCAAAAATCACTGGACCATGTAACAATTTTCTCTCAGGTTTCAGACACAGGGAGAGAGCACATCCAGCTCACAGAGCTCAAGCTTTGTATCCTGGTCTGCAGCCCTTTCTCGAGAAGGGCCCAAGAACCTGTGCTCCCTGGACTATCTCAAAAGAGCACACATATCCTATAAGCTGTACTGCAGACACTTTGCTTCAAAATTACTCACTTGAGGCAGGAGAGAATGGAAGGAAAATACAAGCCTGAAAAGTACATTACCAAGAAACACACTTTGATTTCAAAAAGCCTGATATCAGTTCCAAGGATGGGTGTTTGAGACTTAATGTAGAGAATGGGAAAATTAATAGGACTCTAAGCAAAAAAAGAAACATCCCCCCTCAAAAAGAACAAAACAAACACAACACCCCCACATATTCATCTGCTTTGGATGTACTGCAGGAACACATGCAGTGGAAATTAATTCATGTCTGTTGTACGTGAAGAAGTGCTACAGACAATGTTTAACACATTAGTACATGATGGATGTTGCCTTTCTCCGTCCAGGAAACAAACGTGAAGTTAGAGAAAGTGGGCTATGTTCCCTTCCTGGAGTCAACACATCCAAGGCTGGATATGCTCCAGAGATGTGCTTCTTGAAACATCTGTACATTGAATATTCAACCAGTTCCAGGCCAAGGGATTTAAACCAACAGGGAGCAAAAGGCAGTTTCCCCAAGCCAGGCACTTGTGCTGCAGCTTGTCACTGACAGGGGGTTTGCACCCTCAGAACTCCACCAGGGATAAACACAGCAGTACTGTACACAAACATTTCCTATCACTAGATACCTTCTAGTCAGCATGTGCCACCTTTCACTTTTGGACAATTAACAGCATCAGCAAAAGTGTCTGATGGAGCTATGAGTGAGGGACACAGGATAGCACCAACACTCACTTTTAACTGTTTTTTTTCTAGACTACTACCTTTTCACCCCACCCTCTAAAGCAGCAGAGCTTTGGGCAAGACAAAGAGGAATGTTTTCTTTGAAGCAGTGCAGGAGGAAAAGGTTACTTTGTTTACCAGTAACTCTGGAGTACAAAGAACCACTTTGTCTTTAGGGAAGAGGCAGTAAAGGTAGTGTTTCTTAAGGGCTGAGGTTTCCAAGGCTGCTCTTGTTGATGTGACAGTGACCCAGGGGCCTGTCTGCAGTAGTGGGAAGCCTGGGCAATGAAGAGCTGCTGGCTTCAGGGTCAGTGTGATTGCCTCTGCTCCCAAAGAGGACAGGATCCAGAGCTACACTTACAGCGTGCCTGGAAGGATAGGAGGAGGAGGAAGCTGAGCAGAAACTAACACAGAAGGCTTTGTGAGTAAAGAGATGGTCAACAGAGAAGAGGACGTGATCTTACTGCTGAGAAAGAGATACTTTCAAAATACTTAAACAAATGTTTTTTCTTGCACTTCATTAACATTCTGACACAGCTACAAGTCTACCCCATGTGGAATCACTCTGCTATCTTTTTATTTCCCCTTCCTATGCGTTGAAGCTCAGTATTATTATTGAATACCTTCCATTCATGTGTTTTCCATGCAACTCACAGTAATCAATTACACTGATTCACAGGCAATGAAATACACAATTTTTCTATACTTGAAGCGTTTCTTAACGCTGACAGAATATCCCATTTATCCAAGAGTACTCCAGATAGAACTGATTTTGCAAACTTTCTAAAAACTGATGAAGTAGAACTATATCCCCTGAAAAAGTCAAATAGAAAAAAAAAGCTGTAATGAAGCATGCAGTATGATACAGAAAGCGACCTTCCTGAAGAGAGAAAAGGAATGTAAGAGATGATAACATTTCCACACAAGCAATTGTTACAGAAAGAACAGCTACCCACTATCCAGTGGTTCATTTCATTTACACTGCTTTAAGAAATTAATTTATACTGCTTTAACAATTTCATTGTTGCCATTTGAAAAGAGATTTTAAATAATGCCAATATGTAAGATGTCACTCCACAGCTTACCAACATCTGTGCTATGACAAACAAGGAAGCATACAACACACTCCTTTTCATACCATAACACAAACCTTACTTGCTATTTACAAGGTGTTTACTGTAGCAAATATAAGGATCAAAAACACAAAGAGCCACTGGATTTTAACACTGGAAATTGGTAAACCACCAGTTGTTACGCAGGAGGTAAGAAAAACTCGGTGTAAATGGCCTACCTTCACTGCCAGGAAGTTGAGACCACTTTCATGAGCCAAAGCTTTTGCTATCATGGTCTTTGAGCAGCCAGGAGGTCCATACAGCAGCACACCCTTTGGAGGCTGGATCCCCATTCGGATGAAGGACTCGGGATGTTTGAGAGGCCATTCAACTGCCTGCTTCAATTTCAGCTTGACATCTTCTAGTCCTCCTATGTCTGACCAAGATACCTACAAAACAGACCATTTTGCTAAACTCAGACAATGGAGAAAAACTCTTAGAAAAGTAAACAAACTAAAAATGCTCTGTAGCATGTGCACTGGTTCTTTCATCAAGTTGTTTCTAATGGGTCACTTCGTGAAAAAGCCTTTTTTAAACAAGAAGCAACTATTAATGAAGTCACACGTAGTAAAAGGGATTACATTTGCTTTATGCTGGAGGATGTACATGAACTATTTTGTACCTACTTCAAAGGTCAATAGCAAAACAGAAAAATAACAATAAAAGGACAGATGATTATACACAAACAACACTCTGTGATCACTAGCAGAGTCACAATTCAGTTCTCTTGTGTTTTAATGTGATGCTGATGCAGAATTTGTAAATTACTTCGACATCTTTCCTCAAGGAAAGGACTATATGAGCTCACTCTGGTTTTATTTACAGCTGCAGAGTAAGGTCCTGATCCCAGCTGTAGAATCCCACTAAGCTGAACAGGACTGACTGTTAGAAGTTTGGGGAGTTTCTCCACTTGTCAACACTATCACTCCAATATAGGACTTGGGCACTGGAGATGTGACTAGAAACTTGACAACAAACAAACCTCCAAACATTCAAGTATCTACAGAAAAGAAAAAAAATATTCAAAAAGCAACACTCGAACCCAACCACAGTTGAAAAACTGCAGTTCAATTTGCTCTGCTGAAGACACAAGGCAGGCTTGTCAGGCATATATCAGGGCAGAACTAATATGTCCTGCCCAAACCAGCACACAGATCTAAAACCTGCTACACCTCTCCCCACATCGCTGTCAACAAGCCTGAGACTTTTCCCCACACCCCCCTGCCTGTTCCTCATCCCGTCACCATCCATTCCTGTCCACTTCAAATATTAAACATGTCAAGATGCACCTAAATCAAGTGATCTTCTGCTGTAAAACCCTCTTTCAAAAATTCACTAGACATAAATCATCCTTGAGCTCTGGAAAGTCAGTTATATTTGAAAGGCAAGCAGGGTGTTACTGAGAGGGAAGGTATTGCCTTTCTTCAGAGTTGAAAACTGGTGTCACCCCTGGCTTGTCTGTACTGTTGCTCTCCTGATACCAGTACAAGGAGTGGAAACTAAAAGTAGACAGTCCCCGAAAGAGGCAACTCAGTCTAGTACTGAAGTGGAAGGAAAAGAGCATTTGGATGTGGTGGGAGCACTTCTGCTTAAGACTAAGCAAACTTCAAACCAAATAAAACTTCTCCTCCACTGTCAGACTTGAATGGAGAAGAAAATTACAAAGACAGCAGAGAGCAAGCAACAAAGACCTATACACGTGGATCAACCCCTGAGAAAAATTCTGAGTTTAAAGGCTAACTAGGTGAGGAGGTGCCCATCTACTGTCTGAACACCATCTCTCTCACACCAGGAATATGTTACAGGAAGTCAAGAACAAAAAAAAGCCACCCCCTTTCTTTTTCATATTGACCAATAGCTTGTGGTTCTTAAATGATTTATTAATAAGCCTGGGAAAGTAACAAATATGTAAAATTGATCACCACTGCCTACTAAGAAGGATCTGAAAGCAAAGGGATCTGTCAGAGGCAGGATTCTCTGGTTAAGAAAACCAAACACACACAAAAAAAAAAAAAAAAAAAAAAAAGACAGAGACAAGGCTTTGCTCTCAGTTCAGTCAAAGACCAAAGTGAAGACTGATTCAGGCATGGCAGAGTATCACAGCAGCAGGGGGAGAAAAGGATTTTAGGAGGGGCATTCCCTAAGCAGCATGCCACATCCGGTCACTTGTAGTCCAACCCTTGTACCCTGCCACTACTCCCTTCTGAAGTACACAGACTGGACTAAAGGGACAGTAGTGAACAGATGAAAATGGGATATGCAAAAGGCTCTGGTCTTGAAGTGGATGTGTTCATATGAATTCAACACAAACAGTAAAGGGGGAAACTGCAACAGTGTGGAAAGGAAGAGGGAAAGAAGAGCATGAATTCCTATCACCTGCCTTGGAGCTGGATTATCTTGGGCTACCAAAACAGCTGAGAGACAGACAGAGATAACCTTTGCAGTGCAGTCCAGCTGAGTAAAAACTCACTTTCAGAAGTCAGACAGGTGACTCACACCCAGTTTCTCTCCCTTTCCTTTAGGGGGAACATATGGTGAGGAAATGTCCAATTTAGGCATCTTAGTTAAGTTGCTTAAAGGTAAACTAAATCCTCCCTTCCCTCCTGAGTTTTCACAGTAAGAGACAGAAATCTACATATAGATTTTTCATTTCAAAGAAACAAATAGACAAGTTTACAAAAACTGAAGACATGTGCCAGACACTTCACTTGCATCTTGCCACTGTTCCACCCAGGCAAACCACTCTCTTCACTCCAATTTCATGGCTGAGTAACATAATTAAAGTCATGATGGCTAAACCCAATCCTTCCTTGTTATAAGAGTTTGTGTTTCTGAGTCAGATATGACACAGTGTGTTTTAAATTTCATTAAGAAAAATACATATTACCTACCCCTACAGCCTTCAATTCTATCTAGCAGCTCTCTAAGCTGCACAGGACTAAATCTTGGCACTCTTAAACAACTTTTTTTTAAGGAAAAAGACAGATAATATAAGATCGTTCTCCTTTTTCAGTATCAATCCTTACTCATACCTGGTAAGGCATGGACTAGTCATTCCTATCATCATGCCTTTCTGTCTAGACAAAAATTTTGACAGACATGAACAAGAACTTCTTAAAATTAATTAGGCCATCAGGAATTCCCTATAACTTTCAGCAATAAAAGGCAAAATGCACTGTCAGTACTTTGCACACATATAAAAAGCCAGGGAGAAAACAGCTGCTATCTTTACCCTCTTGCAAATATTCAGTCTACTGCACAAGTTTTCTGAGCCATTATTCAAGTGATGCTTCAGACCCACAACCTGTCATTTAACACCAACACAAGTGACAGAATTGTACAGAGAAGGTGAAGTAGAGCCACCTTACACAAAAGTTGGTTTCAGTTATCTGGAGACTTTGTTTTTGCTTACATTTAAAACTGGGAAGCAAAGAAAAAGGAAATAAGTGGGTCAACACATACAAACAGGGCCACTAAATGTGAACTTGCCTGTTATGAGGGAAAAAGAGAAAATAATTAACTAGCCAGAAATCCACTTCATTTAGTTAGGATTTCTATAACAGAAGGTATGGAATTGAAGCATCAATTATTAATTGGTCAAGTTCTAAACAAAACACATTTTTATTTCCTCATTTCCAAAGGAGAGATAAGGGTAGGGAAGAACAGTCCACCAACAACAGCCACACTGCTTTCACCTGCACATGAACTCAAAGGAAATGTCTTGCAACACAAGCAATGAAGTGTGATATTCTGTCACCGTGGAAATGGTTTTAAAGACTGGCCTTGGGGCTGAGCTTACACGTACAAAGCCAGTGCTCTGCTACACTGTATAAGACACCAAGAGTTCATTACTGCCCTAATCTTTAACTCTCTCCAGGTCAACAGAGCTCAGAATACAATGCAGAGCAGCAACTCCACAGAGGTTATTAAGCAGCAGCACTAAAGAAATAAAGCAGACACACAAAGGATGTCTCATCCAGAACCTTTTGGCTGCAAAGACAAATCTGAGTGTTGAATTACAGTATAGGGAGTGAAAGAGGCAAGCAAAACCCACAGCACTCTAAAAGAAGTTTAGAAATACCCATAGGAGAGGGAGGAACAGCAACTACAGTGCAACTCTCCGAAGAACTGCAGTATTAACTTCCTGATTTATAATGTGCATCCCCTCTCCCCTAAATCCCTGCTGCAGAAAAGGCTGGTGTAACACATAGCAAAGTTCAGGAAAGGTTCTGGAAAAATGGAAAACAAGATGCTATGTGGAACCAGGCAGCAAGTATTTTGGATTTGCCTTGGCCACAGCCAACACACGTGGCAATCCAGACACAAGAGGAAGGACTTGTGACCTTAGTTAGTAGTTACTTTGAACTGTTACCATTTTATTGACACATGGCTAGTGCAAAGCAATGAAAAAAACCACCATCTCAAAAATAACCTTAAAATGCACAAAAATCTCAGTTTAATTCAGCATGTGTGTCAATGGTTTTATCTGTCACTAACTACAGAGGCCAAAAGTCTCATCCACACCAAGACTGCTGCCAAGTGAACACTATAGCTGCAATAAGCAGCTATAAAGCTGATATTATTAATGCAGCTCAAATTTCTGTCTTGTCTTTGGGAAAAAAAATCTCATAGCTGATAATTTATTTAGTGTTTGAAATTATTTTTAGCAAGGAATTTTTACATGATAGAGTTCACAGAATCACAGAATCATTTGAGTTGGAATGGACCCTAAAGATCATCTAGTTCCAAACTCCCCTCCTTTGGTAGGTGATATGGGAAGATACTAAATCTGTTGCATCCAGTACTTTAGATTCTACTTGAAACTAACTCCAGGCACCAAGCAGATAGCTTCAAATTTACCCTACATTTTCGCAGGATATGCATTATTTTGGAAAATGCAGGTCCTGTCAGCACAAAAAGAATCTACACCATGTTGTTATTTTCCTTCAATAAAGAACTGAATTTCATCACTGTTCCAGTGACTCAGCAGGTGTTAAACAAATAAAATCAAGCAGCAATCAAAGAAGTCACTGGCAAACAGGAGCCTGAGTAGTAAATTGACCTGGATTGAGAAGAGATTTCATAGATAGGTTCACAGAAATTCATAGAACCAACCAGGTTGGAAGAGACCTCAAAGATCATCAAATCCAACCCTACTGCCATTACCAGACCAAAGGCACTGCCACATCCAGTCTCATCTTAAAAACCTCTAGGGACAGTGAATCCACCACCTCCCTGGGCAGCCCATTCCAATGCCTGAGCACTCCCTGTAAACAATCTCTTCCTAATAGCTAACCTAACCCTCCACTGGCAGAGCTTGAGTCTGTGCCCTCTTGTCCTGCTGCTGGTTGCCTGGGAGAAGAGACCAACCCCCACCTGACTCCAACCTCCTGTCAGGGAGTTGTAGAGGGTGATAAGGTCTCCCCCAAGTCTCCTCTTCTCCATTTCCTGCAGTACCTCAAGCCTTTGCTTCCACCTGTCTGCATTGTGCTATTTAGCAGCATTCCACCTGGCTCCAAACAGGCTGGTATGCCTAAGAGGCACAGCACAGGGATAGCAACATGAGCCCAAGAGCCAGTAGCACAACAAGCAGCAAAAGAATTAGCAACTCCACATTCTCAGCAGAACTACTTAGCCTTGGTGGATATTGATGCCACACCACCTTTCCCAGGAAAGGCTGTCTGGGGCCAGCCCAGGCATTTCCACCCACCACTTTGCTGCACAGTGTGGACTCTTAACAAGCCAAGTGTGACATCCAAGCTGACTGTGTGCAGCATCCAGCTTGCAGGAGATAGCAAGCCCAAGAGCCAGTAACACAACAAGCAGCAAAAGAATTAGCAACTCAACATTCTCAGCAGCCTTGGTGGATATTGATGCCACACCACCTTTCCCAGGAAAGGCTGTCTGGGGCCAGCCCAGGCATTTCCACCCACCACTTTGCTGCACAGTGTGGACTCTTAACAAGCCAAGTGTGACATCCAAGCTGACTGTGTGCAGCATCCAGCTTGCAGACTTTATTTCCCATTCCTGTAGTTTGGGAATAAAACATTCTCAGCAGCCTTGGTGGATATTGATGCCACACCACCTTTCCCAGGAAAGGCTGTCTGGGGCCAGCCCAGGCATTTCCACCCACCACTTTGCTGCACAGTGTGGACTCTTAACAAGCCAAGTGTGACATCCAAGCTGACTGTGTGCAGCATCCAGCTTGCAGACTTTATTTCCCATTCCTGTAGTTTGGGAATAAGGGCCTATGGTTGTGCAATCTAATTCCCAGATGACTCATCTTCATGCAATGAGACATAAATGTTTTCTTCTAGGGCTTGAGGAGCTGCTGAGAAACACCAGCACAACTGCTCACAGAGCCAAGATTTACTAAGATTAAACACACTTTCTTTTTTCCTCAATCTTCTTAACCCACATCAGAGTTGTCTTAAACCAGATCAGTTCCCCAGCCCAATTTACGTTGGGTCTGCTACTGAACTACTATAAGCCACATCTGAGAGCAGGGTAAAGATGAACCTGGCACCACCAGAAGAACTGTTCATATAAGGCCAGACCCTGTCAGGCAATCACTTGGCAGTGATAACCTACCTACAGTTTTGAGTTCTGCCTTCAGTTAAAACCATATAATGCCGCTGAAGACATTCAGGTCACATTTACACAAAAGTCACAGCAACCCAACTCTTCACAGCTTTGTTTCAATACACTTTGGTTACAAATGCTAACAGTTGGTTTCTGCATTAGTTTGTGCCTGCTTCACAAAATGCTCCAGCTTTCATGGCTGTTCAGGACCTGCTTTGAACAGACATCTTTAGATCTTTACTCCATTAACCAGCATATAAAACTACAGATTAGGAGACATGCTCCTGCACAACAAACTCTTCCCAAAGCATTAGGAACCTAAATTAAGCTTCTGCAAATGGTTCTTCAAAATTATAATTAACAAATGTGCAAACAAAAAGATGATGGACAATATTTCTTGGTAACTTGAGGCTTTTACTTGACAAAATTCCTCTCTAAGTGTGGCTCTGACAACATTGCTAGAGCATTGCACAAAACAACTTACTTTTGGCACATCAATTGCCACCTCCCTCATGGCACTGGGCCTGACATCATTCATCCCCTGCAGGAAGTCATTGAAAGCAATCATCACTGACCCAGCCACCTCGGTGTCTAACAGGTTAGGCCTCTTCCCCAGTGCTCTCCGCAAGGCGTACAAACCTATTAAAACAAAAAAAGCATGGAAATATGTAGACTTCCTCCTGGTTCTCACAAACATAAAGTGTACCACACACAAACACACATCAGCACTGGAAAGGAAATGATGTTGAAAAGAATGTCTCAAAACTGGGTCTGAACTAGGTCAAAGAACATGCAAGACACTTCTGATGAGAGAGCACGAAAAAGGGGATTTAACCACAGACAGAATATAAACGAAATCTGTTCCAAAAGACAGAATGAAACAGCCCTGTTCCCAAATTCCTGGAGATGAAGCCAACAGGGCAAAACCTCCAAATGTCCATACAGTGATCTGAACACATTTCTAAACCACACTGGAAGAGGGACAACAAAGACGCAAGGCAACGTTAAATCAGCTCACATAAGAGACCTACAACCTTGCCCATTCCTCTATTTTCAGGTCTGTATTTTCCAAGCTGCTCTCAAAAGCAAATTGAGATTTATTTCACTTTCATTGGGACACTATTTTGCCATCTAGTAAGATGCCAGACACCTATATTTTTCTTGATAAGCACCAAACATTCCCTGGAACACCTGATAGCTTTTTATTCCCTTCAGCAATGACACTTTCCAAACGCAGGCACAGCTTGTACCTTTTCCTTTGTTTGGCCAAATCACTCACATCCAAGACCTATAAATCTCTACTCTTATTCCTGGCTTCCCACTATAATTCAATCCTTCAAAAGCCACACAAGTCCCACCCACTCACACATCAATATATCAATACTCCTCGGGCAGGACCAGGCTGTACCATCTGCAGCTCCAGGCATACCCCAGAGAGCCCCAGCTGTGCCAGATGCCCAGAAGCAGGGTGGGTTTCCCACTGTATAATTATACCTTCTAAGGCCTAATAGAATTTTGAGTTTTATTGCTGCTATTTCCAATCCAGTTTGGTGAACTGAAACTGTCAAATATCTTATTTAGTATATTATTACATGAAGAGCATAATTTTATATGCAAGTATACACAGATCGGATGTGCAATACCTGTTGCCATGTGTTCCAAAACAAACGAGGCAGTTTGTACAACACCAGTTCACCTTGCATGACCATAAAAAGACAAACATTAGTTAAGTCTCTTCTATATTTAACCAAACAAAACATCAATTAGTGCCACATGAAAGGACAATAAATGGGATAAGCCATTTCTGAAAATAGACATGGTTTTAACTTTCAGCAGATTGTTGCCTTTTTTCCTACAGAGGCACTGATAGATGCAGACATACAAAGTTCCTGACAATGGCAGGAATTTTGCATTTCCTACAATATATACAACGTGTGAAGAGATATAATATCTCCCCTGTGAAGCAGTACAGCTGGTGTCTCTCCATAAACTGCCAATTACAGCAGAGCCTGAGCACCTGCATCCAATACCCAGGCTCTTCATACAATAACAGAGGAAAAAGAGTTTGCAATTCAGGTTTCCCCTTGCACAGAACATCCAAAACTAATAAGATATATAAATAAAAACATTCCATGAGGCCAAGGAGAAAAATGAAAATCTGGTCACCAGAGGACAAGTATAAAATATAACTGACTCATTTTAACAGCCCAGACAATTTCCATGTTATTCCTCGCCCCCTTCTTCCTTCCTCTGAAACACTTCATCTTAAGCAAACAAAAAACTGAAGTGAGACAACATAGATTCACCCCCCAGGTCTCAAATTTACATCCAAGCAAGTAACAAATTCGACATCTTATTCCAGTGCCATTGCAGGGTAGGAGTCGGCATTGAGGTTGAGTCCAATTTTTCTCTTTGGTGAAGTTAATTCACAAGACACACTCACTTGAAAAAATGCAATAAATAACACAGCATGAAATTAAGGTATAGAAAGCAAGTAGCTGATAAAGATCTCTGCTCATTTCTATAACTCTCAGCTCCATCAAGTACCAGTGCAGCCCAGTGCCAATTTGATGCGTTTTAATCATGTCACAGTTATGTTTCATGACATGAGGAATTCTTAAAAACAAACAAGTTTACCCTAAAAAAATGAGAGAAAACAACACAAAAATGCCCAAGGAGAACACCTTAAGGTTTGTTACTGCCAGTGCTACGAGCAGTACGAGTGAAATTTCAGTCCTCAGCAGTGGGTTTGAAAGGCAACAGCCTTGATCCAGAACAGGAATAAAGAGGTCACAGCTCTCCAAACAAAGCCTGAATTCATTTCAGCATGTGCAGGCACACGCCACTGCACAGGTCAGCGTTTAATTGAAACAATGTTTTACATTAAAACAATAATAAAAAACAGATTGAAAAAGAAAGCATGATTCTTCCTGTTTCCTCCTGTTATCATAATCATTCTTTCCTGCACTTCAGATTGACCTCTAACCAGAGGAGGGGGGAAAGTCTCAGTAACAGGAGAAGGATACAGCCAGTGCCTTGCCAGAGGCAGAAAAACACATCCTTGTCTGGAGACGCTGAAAGATGTATTTAATGTAAGGAAATGCAGGGTAGGATGCAAAACCACACTGCCAGAAGCAATGCAGAGGCAAAGGAGGTGGAACACTACAGCAAACCTACGTTTATTTATCACCACAGAATTTATAACCCAGATAAACTGAAGACTCAGACAGCAATACCTCAGAAAACATCAAACAGCTTAGCTGTCGGGTATCTTTCAGATGGAAATGTTTTGGGTTGAGCATGTGTCACTGCAGCAAACTGACTCTGAGCACAGCATTTGTTTCAGCTCTGCTTGTTCCTTTTCAGATGCTGTTTTGTTCTTAAGGATTAATGAATATCAATAACCTTTTGGCAGTGACTGAAGAGGCTCAGAAGTGGGTGAGTGGGTTTTCCTTGGGGTTTTTTCCAGTCCTGCATGAGGGGAGGAAAGTCTCGGATATAGTTAACCAACTGTAAGGTCAGTGGGACTGTTGGCACAGAAATGGGATACCTATTCCTAGTAATCGGATCCATGATCAGTCCCGAGGACTGCTCTATGCAGAGCAGAAACTTAACCTGGAAGGCAGCCTTGCAATAGTGAACAGCACTGATCCTTAGTGGAATCTCAATGGAAAATCCCAGTTAAAAAAAAAAAAAAAAAGGCAAAGAAAGCAGCATAATAAGGCATGCATGAGTCCAAACAATGGAAAATAAACAGTGTGTTCCAGCCCAGCAACTATGTGCTCTACCTCACCAACTCATCCTGTCTGTCTAGAACAGAGGAAACTAAGCGGACAGAGGGGAAAATCTAGCAGAACGCCCTGTCCTGGTACAGATGATCCTCCTTTGGTACCAGGCTATGCATGAGGTCCATAGCATTGTTTGCCTGTAAGATTTTCTTGCTCATAGCTTGGCTAAGTTTTGGCACATTAGATCACAACTGCAAATATCTGAGCCTAAAAATAGACACCACGACACTGCTGTATTTGTCAGAGTCTGCGTGTAATTACACACTACTGTAAATAATAGAAAGCATCCACTCCAAACTACCAACATATATACTGTAGGTTTCCAAAACAGAACATACACAACACTTGAAGAAGTAAACTGAACAAACAAAACTGTTAATCATGCATCTTTTACTGCCCATTTCTTCCACAAGTCCATCCTGTCTGGACTTACTCTACCAGAATCCTAATGCCAGAATTTGTATGTAGCTTCAAAGAAATGGTAATCTTCTTGTAAGACTGCTTACAAAAGGAAATGTTTCTTCTTTCCCTGCTAATCTGGCACTTCCCTCCCAAATTCTTATGGTCAAACTCAGAAGACACATAGCATTTCTCCCTGTGATAGCTGTCAGATCCAGCAAGTTACTCTCCTGCATGGCTGGCTGAGGAATGCTCAACAGAGCAGGATGGATGGGTAAGATCTCAGCTTCCTAATGGCACTGGATGTGGCATTTTCCTCTGCTTCCAGATCTTTACATACTATAAATCAAACTTGAACAGCTGTATGCACAGAAAAAGCATTTCATATAACTTAAAATCAATTTGTAAGTACATTTTAAGATTTTTTAAATTTAACTTGTACACAAAATTCAGGTTCATTTACAAAAATAAATCAGGAAGCAGAAACCCTTACTTTTACCCTCAAAACCATATTCTGCAATCTGTCTTTGGCTGCCAGCACTATAGGGGAAAATCCCTGAAGAACTTTCATACAGTGGTTGCACAGGAAAGATAATGCCCTTAAATCCCTTGTAACCATAACATTGCAAATTCACTCAGCTAACCTGAGCGCTAACCTACTGTAGGGATTATGTACACGATTTATAGTCCTTCATGAAGAGCCCTGGCATTTGCTGGAACATGTCATGGAGCTGCCTGGGAGTTGCTGAGAGGTAAGACAGGGGAGGGAGGGAAGGAAGGAGGGAGGGGGGAGGAAGGGAGGAAGGAAGGAAGGGAGGAAGGGAAGGAAAGAGAGGAAAGGAGGAAGGAAGGGAGAAAGGAAGGAAGGGACGAAGGAAGGGGTGGAGGAAGGAAGGAAGGAAGGAAGGAAGGAAGGAAGGAAGGAAGGAAGGAAGGAAGGAAGGAAGGAAGGAAGGAAGGAAGGAAGGAAGGAAGGAAGGAAGGAAGGAAGGAAGGAAGGAAGGAAGGAAGGAAGGAAGGAAGGAAGGAAGGAAGGAAGGAAGGAAGGAAGGAAGGAAGGAAGGAAGGAAGGAAGGAAGGAAGGAAGGAAGGAAGGAAGGAAGGAAGGAAGGAAGGAAGGAAGGAAGGAAGGAAGGAAGGAAGGAAGGAAGGAAGGAAGGAAGGAAGGAAGGAAGGAAGGAAGGAAGGAAGGAAGGAAGGAAGGAAGGAAGGAAGGAAGGAAGGAAGGAAGGAAGGAAGGAAGGGTATTTTCAAAACTCCTTTCGTACAGGAAACAATTTGTTCACAGATCAGGTACACACACATCATTTATCCTAATACAGTGACAACAGAGGGAAGTAAGGAATACCAGACTGCTGTTCCTAGCTTGCTTTCATACATAAACATACCTAAGCTAAGGTGAGTCACACATGTTAGAACAAAAGTAAGGACTGCCAGGCTACCAGAGTAGCA